CATCCGAAAAGACATCTTTTTGTTCACTATTCTCTTCCATCTTATCAATTTTAATAAGCATGCTACAAGAGAAGCACCACCGCAACTGAGGGTTTTCGAAGTGGATCACTAATGGGTGACGAGTTTGCCTCGCATGCCGAAGTGCATGGCATTGAGGGGTTGTAGGCAGTCCAACCCCTCCACAAGAATAATGACCACATTCCAAACAAACCCAAATGGCTTTTGACTCAGATTTTGAATCCACTGAAGCACTTCCTTTCTTCTTACCATGTTTGCCCTTTCCTTTACCCCCTCTCCTATCAACCGCCCCTTCCCTACAATCTTCGCACCTAACAACTTCTGAGGACCCAATTTTAGCAGACAATTTATTCAAATCTACACCTTTGTCAACATGAGGACAAGGTTTTTTCTCTTTTGGAACTGAAACTGCATCATCACCATTCTTAACACTTGGGTTGCTTGGTTGGGGAGCTTTCTTTGGGGAATCGGCTGCAATCCACTTGTCCTTTTGAGGAGCCGCCCTTGCCTTCTTCTTAACTTTCTTCCCCATCAATTCCTAATTCCAATCCAAAGACACCAAATATAACAATAATAAGATTAATTATAATAACACACAACAATGATGATGATAAGAATAGTAAAGATCAATAAACATTACCTAACTAGAACCATATATTGACACTCTGCAAACAACCAGACATAAACCAATATAAGAATGCAAAACCCAATCCTTTTATCTACTCAATGCAGACATACTGCTAAAAATCATATGAAAAAAGTAAAACCCTCTTCACATAATTGACAAAAACCGAAGAAATGAGGAGAACAATCCAAACCCACTATCCGCAAAACCATACACTACGGAAGAGTAAGAGACGCCTATAAAGATTCAGGTTTTTTCCGAGAACCCAACAAAGATTTGGATTGTAAAGTGTAAATAACAGCTTCTGAGCAATCCTAAAGGTGAAGCAGAAGCATAAATCTAAATGAATTGCATTAAAATATGAAAAGAAAATCCGTTGTTTTACCTCAAAATCTGGAGAAGATGACCGGGAATGCTAGGAGAAACTTTTTCAGGGTTAGCTTTGCATATGATGACAAGAGAGATTGCTGTTTGAAGTTTAGGATCTATCAAGGATGGAAAGACAAAGCGAGAGTGGCGTGCTAATATTTAAGGGCTTTGGTTGGCGCACTCCTAATCTTTTGCTTAGTAGCCACTCTCTCTCAATGAAGGAGAGGGACACAGAGATGAGAGAGTAACAGTGGGTTTTTTTTTTTTGGTCTGAGATTTTTATTGTTGTTGAGGGAGGAACTTATATTTGGTAGAGATTTTTAACTGCGAGAGAGAGAGCCAAAAGACTGATAGAATTTGAAAAGGATTAAAGTTACGTGGGTTTTCTTTTGGCAAATTTGCCCTTGTGGTTAAATATATATATATATATATATATGGTGTGTTCATCAATTAGAAATTCGAATTCTCATCAGGAGGAATTCAATTATTGGGTGGGAGGTGGTATTCTAATTCTTGGAGAACTAACCTATTAGGAATTCATTTTTTTACCCATTATATCTCGCACAATTTTTAAAATTACAAATTTGTCATCTACTTTAACCGAACAACGAGGACATTTTAGTAATTAGTATCACTCATACCCTAATTCCATATAGTTTAGTAAACAACTTCAATAGGAATCTAGAATTTAATTCTCTTCAATCCAACTCCTCCTCAATTCAACTTCTTCTAATGCAATTATGAAATTAGTAAACATGCAATAAGTGGTCTAAGGTTCCAAGCCTCTGAGAATATGGAGAAGTGAAGACCGGGAATGCTAGGATAAGTTTTTCAAGGTTAGCGTTGCATGGGATGAAAAGAGAGGTTGATGTTTGAAGTTTATGATCGATTGTTTGTACCCAAAATCATATTTTTGCCTAAAATGGAAGATAATGTTCCATGAACATCAAAATGGCCAAAATATGGCTAGACATGCATTGCTGCAGTCAGATGAGTAGGCCCAAAATTCAACTTCCAGTGCTCAAATAAAGTTTCATCCTTCACAAAAGTTGTTCAACTCTATGTCTACTGTAACATATCCAAATTTGGGATCATTTGGACAAATGTGGAATCCTAAGAGCTGAAAACTCCAGATGCACAGCGCCAGCAAAAAGCTTATAGAGCTCAATTTGGACCTAATTTGGGCCCAATTCGGGCCTAATTCCAATGCTCTAATGAATTATCTTTCTTCATGGAAGTTTTTCATTAGAATATCTACTGCAACATATCCAAATTTGGGATCATTTGGATAAATGTGGAATCCTCTCGACATCAAACATCAGAAGCATACCAACAACAGCGAGAGCTGAAAACAATGGCAATTCGGGCCTAATTATGGCCCAATTCGGGCCAACTTCCAGTCCTCAAATGAACATTCATTCTTCATGAAAGTTGTTCATTTGGATGTCTATTACGACATATCCGAATTTGGCATCATTTGCACAAGTATTGAATCTTCAGGACATTAATCATGATTTCTGTTTGTGACAGCAGTCTGTGACGACCAGTCAGTTGCAACCATGCTAAATCAGATTTTCTATTGCTCAAATGGAATTAATTTCTTCATGAATGTTGTTCCTACTTGAGAACAACATATCCGAAATTTGCAGCAATTGGATTAATCTAGCATTTCCAATTTATTATGCATCAAGGCATGTTCAGAGGAGAAACTCAGTGGCTACAAATAAAGTTTCACTTCATCAATGGAGGGACTTCATCACAAGTGAGTTGATTCAAAGAAGAATAAAATAATGTTGTGGTAGGTGGAAACAATTTAATATTCTATGTAATTAAGAATATTAAAACAAAACCAAAGCTTAACACGTGAAAAGTCTACATTAAGGTTGAAAGAAGAATAAAATAATATGCAAGTGGGCTTAAAGAATGAATAAATAAAGAAATAGAGATGGTGGTCATTATCTCTCCATTTCTTTTTTCTTTTAATCAGCTCAGCAACTTTTGACTGTCACTCACCAATCAATGGCAAGTGGACTAATACTTAGGATTTCTTTAAGTCTAATAGTGACAACTTTTGTCAAATCTTATCAAAGCCTCTTAGCAACTTTTTTGGGTTTAATTATATTTTCATCAACCCACTCACCAAAACCAATGGCAAGTGGGTACTTCAAATTGGCTACTGGTCCCAACACTCAACTGACCTCCATTCTCTATAAATTAAAGGAGGAATCATCAACAAAAACACACACAACCCAACCAACAAAAACCAGACTCAACGTCTATAAACCCAACTCAAAAGCTTGAAACAACCTTCATTTTTCATTCTCTGAATTCCCAATTGACAACTCCTAAGGAACTTTCTTTATTTTGCTCTGCCAACTCTTGGTATGATTTTTCCTTGTACAAGATTGAATAGAGAAATCTTCAATCTTCATTTTAATTTTATGTATCAGGTCTGAATAGAGAAATCTTCAGGCTGTGTTGTTTATATATTTCCTTTTTCTTTCAAGTTGTCTGAATAGAGAAATATTTCGATAAACTTCTGTCATTTCATTATCGTTCAATTTCAGCTTCTATCAGTTACCATTTTCGCACTAGATGAATATTGAAGTCCTCTTAATTGAGGCATAGAAAAGAACTTGTATTGGGTCAGTTCCCCGCCCAATCCACAATCGATTGATTAAAGTCAATATATGTGTGCCTTTTCTAGTCTTACCATTTTCAGTCTGTTGGAGTTTTTCACTGCCAGCAGTGACAGCCTTCTCAATCGCAACAAGCAAACTCCACAGCCAGACCCCACGCGAATGGCCAGCAGGTCCTTTTTGGGGTAAACATCTATCAAGGATGGAAAGACAAAGCGAGAGTGGCGTGCTCGTATTTGAGGGCTTTGGCTCGCGCACCCCCTAATCTTTTGCTTAGTAGCCACTCTCTCAATGAATGAGAGGGACAAAAATGAGAGAGTAACAGTGGTGACTGGTAATAGAGAAAGAGGCGAGAGATGAACTTTATTTGTTACTGGATTTTCATTATTGTTGAGGTAGGACTGATAGAATTTGAAAGGACCCTCTCGAATTAATATGAATCCAAACTGTACTCATTAAATTTCTTTGAAAAGCCAATATTTTGGCCTGTTAATGAAACTTATTTCCGACTTTAAAAAAGGACCTAATGCTCATTTTTCTTGTACTGTGAACAAAATTGCTTTGATTTGATCAACCCTCCCCATTCGAGTACTTGGACAACCCACACTTAATCGCCTCGGAAAATTAATAAAATGAAGAGTATGCAGTAAAGCTAAGATCAAATTAGACATTGTTCAGATTTCTTATTAATTACTGAAATAATTACCAAATATATATACCTTTAATTTGATCAGATTTGGCCTCAATTGAGTATATTTTTATGCGGTAATAAATTTTACACCACATATACATTCTTTTTTGAAAAAAAATATATGCCGTGCAATGCAACCAAACTTCCTATATAGCTCAATATCAGAATTGTTCAAACAAGAAACATGGCCAGACTCTCATGGGTTCCAACTGCTGTTTTCGTCATCCTAGCCTTGAGCTTTGCCATTGATGTTGCTATGGTACTTCTCTAGATCTCATGAATATACTTATAGTGGGGACCAAATCTAACGTATCATGGCCTAACCCATATGCCACAACTAAAGGATGTGGGATGAGCAAACTTCCCTCCCATTAGAGGAGTGCGGAACAAGGGAGACACAAATTGCTCGTTTGATCCCATTACCACGAAGTGGAGGACGGGATGCGCAAAGCTAGGGAAGTGAGGCTAAACCCACGACCTCGGAGTGCTATAAAAACCCAGCTAGACCTCCAGCAAAGGTACGTGAAATTGAACCGAACACTAAGAGTACGTTGCACAAACACTGACTTGAGCGTCAGAGTGACTTTTGCAGGTACTCACCCCCTTTCCATCGTTCGATTTCTGGAACGTAATCCGGAGTTCTCTTTCAACCAAAGGAGCGTGCGGACTTCAGTCAAGAACCTGTGGAGGTATTTCTTCTTGAAAGAAATCTTGCTCCAACACTTATATATATGTCTGTTTATTTGTTCTCTTTTATTTTTTGGGTACCTTTTTTTTCTCAGTGTTTACCCTTTTCACTGTTGGCTCAAGAGGATCAGAATGCCGGTGTAATCAATCACCCTGTAAGTCTTTTTTCATTTATTCAATTTTTTTACCATTTCTTTTTTTTGCATTTAATTACTGATCATGGTTTCAATTTTTACAGACTGAGAAAGAGGGATCACTTCGTCGTGAAGGTACAAATTAAAACTGCAATTTTTCTTTGGGTATACTAGTGATTTACCCCCTGAACTTGTACCTCGCTTTCAATTAGCCCCCTATCCTTTTTTTTAAAGAAAATTAAGGATATGAATTTTTTTTTCTGCCAATTTCCCCCCTGCCGTCTAAATCCCAACATTTCATCCAATTTGCTGTTAAATATGAGGGCAAATTGGTCATTTTCATATTAAAATAAAATAAAACAATTTAAAATTTGAAATAATAATGATAGAAATATTTTTTTTTTTTAAAGGCCACCTACCACCTTTCTCTCTCTCTCTCTCGACTTAACCCCAACAAATCCACCCCTCTCTAGCCCATTCTCTCACCCTATGTTTGACATCCACCAACATCGCCACCCTCTCTTCAATCTCTTTCCCCTTCCTTCTCTTCAACATCCACCAACATCACCATCCTCCTCCCTTTGTCTCTTCTCCCCCCATGTGCCCACCCCCTCCTCCTTCTCCCTCCCACTCTCTCTTTTCGTGTCTCTCTCTCTCCCACTGCCAAGGTTATAGGGAGGAAAAAACCCAAAATTTAATAATAAACATCTTGACATTTTTTGGGTGGTTGTTTAGGATTTTGATCTTGAATTTTTTTTCTTTTGTGGCTGTTTGGCTGTTTGGGTTTCCTAGGGAGTAAGTAAGGTGAGGTTAATAATAAAGATCTTGAAATTTTTTTGATGGCTATTTAGGGTTTTGATCTTGAATAATTTTTTTTTTGGGTGGCTGGTGGCTGTTTGAGTTTTCTGGGAGGTGAGGTTGTGGATGTCGAAGAAAGAGGGAGACAGAAGGAGGAGGGGGTGGGTGAAGGGTAGGCGGTGCTGATGTTTGTGAAGAGAGAGAAGGGGAAGAGAGAAGAGAGAGAGGGAGACGCACTTTGTAGAGAAAAGAAAAACAAAAAAGAAGATCAAAACCCTAAAGCCTAAGGGAATGGGGCGACAAGAGAGAGAGAAGGAGGTGTGTTGGGGGTAGGGCTGGTTGGCCTTGGGAGAAGCATCGGGCAGAGGAGGAGGGGGAGAAAAAAAACCAGGGGGAGGGGGAAGAAAGAGAAAAAGAGAGGAGATAAGGTTTTTATTTTGAGTTATCTTTTTCTTCTTTTTTTCCAAATTTTTTATAATGATTTAACAGAAAATTGGATGAAATGTTGAGATGTAGACGGAAGGGGGGAAATTGGTGAAAAAAAAAAGGGTTCATATCCTTAATTTTCTAAAAAAAAAAGGATAAGGGGTTAATCGAAAATTAGGTACAAGTTTAAGGGGCAAATCACTAGTATACCCTTTTTCTTTATACATCCCCGTATTTTAATTTCAATACGCATAAAATATAATTTCTGGGAATTTGATTTAATTTTATTGTTTTGAAAATAGATTGTCCATCAGCATGCAAGTATCGGTGTCAGAAACTTCACATAAGAAGCCATGCATGTTTTTCTGCAAGAAATGCTGCGACAAATGTCTTTGTGTACCTTCGGGCACATATGGGCACAAGGAAGAATGCCCATGCTACAACAACTGGAAGACCAAAGAAGGTGGTCCTAAGTGCCCATGAATGGCAAACCATTCATTCATGTTGAGAAGAAATGTTTCTTCTGAGTTTTTTTTGTTTTTTGTTTTTTGTTATGCTAGAATTTTTTGATAGAGAAAGTTTGTAGACGGTTTTTCCTTTTTCCCAAGATGTAGAGGTTTGTTTTAGTTTTAGATCTTGAAAGAAATATTATTGATTGGTAATTCTTCCGAGAGCAATAACCTTCAAGTTCAACACAACTTCTTGCTTATATTAAGAGTGTGATAAGGAATCGTTAAAGCTATATTGTAAAACCTTTTTTTTTTATTAGAAATGTGTTCGTCTTTCTTGCACCCGAGTCGAATCTCCCTTCCCTTCTAAAACTTCTGAAAATAATGGTAATTAATCCAACATATTTTGACATTCACCACATTTTGGGCGCCTATCTAGAACTCCATGCTAGATGCAAGGTGTTGCTTATAGAGAGTCAAGATTCACGAACGCTTGGGGGATTTGGTTGCAACGTCCTATTGATCCTAGATTTATGTTTGTGATTGATTTGATAAAATCTAATTTATGTTTGTGACCCTCATTTAAATCCTAGATTCATGTGATTGATTTGATAAAATCCTATTAGAGGTGGCAACCCCTCTATAGACCTACAAGGATGTACGAATTGGTTTATTTGGTCTGGTAGTGAGTGTTGACCTTCTCACATCCAAGGTCATATTCGAATTGTTTTTATTTGATACTTGCGTTACATTAAATTAGCCCTTGACACACGCGTGCAATTTGAAGTCAAAGTCAAACTAGCGATAGTAGAAATTATTTTAAATTAATATAATCTACGGGATTAGAAGTCAAAGTCAAACTAGTGATAGTATAATTATTTTAGATTAGGCAACTGACCTAATCCAAATATGCGTTTTTTGCATTTTAGTTTTAAGAAGGAGAAGATCGGTATTCTTGTGTTGTGTCCCCTCCCCTTAAAACAAAAGCCATGTTCTCATTTTGGTTTTTTTCATTTTTTCATTTCAAACTTCGTTTTTGATACGAAAAACTATTGATTATTATATCATTCTCACTTAATGAATAATTTTAGGTTTTGTAGAAGGCCCTTAAAATCTCAAGATTGGGAACGCCCCCATCCCAGCTGGTGTCTTCGAGATTAATGTTGACAGTTCGTTTTTGGCATGTGAAAGCAGGGACGGGGGTGGGCACGGGTATTCGGGAGCATGCAGGGGACCTTTGTGGTTGCAATGGTAAAGCATTATTCTCACTTGTTATCTGCTGCTCATGCTGGCCTTGGCAGCGTGGGAAGAGCTCAAGTTTGCAAAGAAGCTGTTCACCTCAAAATCTTTTTGGCCAACCAAGTAGATTATTTCGAGTAAAATAATCAAGGGCCGATCGGATATGGGAAGGGCCGAGAGTAAAAAAGAGTATAAACAGAAGCTTCACTTGCAAGCGCTAGTTTTTGAAGGGTGATTTGCTTGGGATGGCTAATGCAAATTAATTATAGTATGGAGGTCCTTTTTTTAATCTGAGTAGGGTGTTTGAGGATGCTCGTCCTCTGCTATATCAATTGTCAGGTTAGACTTTCATTGTATTACCCCCCCGTGAGGTGATTGTTGTTGCATACAGGCCTGCTGGACATGTCTCCATCAAATTGTGGGTGTTCAGCAACTTCACATAATAAGAAGTCAAGTCATGCTTGTTCTTTTGCAAGAAATGCTGCGAGAGATGTCTTCGAACAAATTTAAATTATGGATATCTAAATTTCGTCATTTTAGAATTCTATGCAATTTTCAATTCATTCATCCAAACGGAGAGTAAAAGTATTAGAAATATAGAAGAAAATAAAACTATTGTTAATCTTTTTGTTTAGGAGGCCCAAAACTAATTGTTATATTAACAAAATATCCTCCTCTCCTAATATTGCTGGTAAGAAAATGATAAAAATTTATTTATTTTATTTGCTTTTACTTTACTTGAAATGCATAAAGAAATAAATTGCCATATATATATATATATTTGGCTCCAATCGAGTATGGTTTTTAATTTTGCAAGCACACTTTCCTATATATACATGTATATAGGAAGTGATCCTACATTTGGCTCCAATTGAGCTTGGTTTTTAATTTTTATCTCATTGAACATATCTAATCCTAAATACATTGGGATAAAAGAACTATATAGGAAGAAATTACCTTTAAAAATTATATATACATGAATCCTAAATATCTAATCCTTAATTTTTATCTCATTGAAAATATCTAATCCTAAATATATAGGAAGAAATTACCATATCTTTGGCTCCAATTCAGTATGGCTTTTAATTTTGCATATAGTTAAAGAAATATATATCCAGTGCAAACACACCTCCTATATATATGCATGTATCCTATATATGCATATGCATGTATCCTATATATGCATATGCATGTATATATGTATAAGGAAAGAATATATATGTACAGAGGAAGAAATTACCATATAGTTAAAGAAACATATATATATGTGCCCTTCCATATACATATATATATATATGTGATGACCTTGCTCACATGCATCATATTCCTGAACAACGTTCCATTCTCCCTGAAACTAGATTGAAGGTAGAAAATTTACAATTAATTAAACATGGCCAGGCTCTCATGTTCTTCCTCCACTGCTTTCTTTCTCATCTTTGCCTTGATCTGTACCATTGATGTCATGGTAATACCTCTCTCTCTCTCTCTCTCAAGCATACCATTAATCAGCTAGCTGTATGTCTATCTTTGTTCTTTAAAAAATAAAATTGCTCATCATATATTTTTACTGCAGGCTCAGAGTCCGGGACGCGCTGTTGGTAGTGTTCGTCCAGTAAGTTTCTTTACTGAATTTTGGAAGCAATCACTTATGCATGAAAGTTAGGGATTTTGAAAACTGTTTACATCAAATAAAAACAAAGTGCTAAATCTAATCAGCGGCTGTCTTATAATTTTACACTCAAATCCTAGAACCAACCTCATCTTGTTATCCATGAAGGTACTCATGACGAGATTTTCACAACTAAAATGGCGGTTATTTATAGAATTGTTATTTTGTGAATATCTTTGAATAATCTCCCTTATTTTCTGTTTTCTTTGTGGTTCGATTTTTTTACAGACCGGCGGTGAGGGATCACTTCGTCTTGAACGTACGTAACTCATTTCTCAAACTCTTACTTTCATTTCAAACATAACCCTCATTTTTTCAAAACAATTATTCCAGTTTAGCTAATTTACTAAATAATTGGATAAGGAAAAAAAAAATTACTTGATACTTGTTGATACCTTGATTTTGATTTTTGATAAATTTTTGTTGGTGTATTTGATGTTTTAATCAGAATGCGGAGGGGCATGTGCATATCGATGCTCAGCAACTTCACACAAGAACCCATGCATAGAATTCTGCAACATGTGCTGCAAGAAGTGTCTATGCGTTCCATCAGGCACATATGGACACAAGGAAGAATGTCCATGCTACAACAACTGGAAGACCAAGGAAGGAGGCCCCAAGTGCCCATGAAACCAAAACAAATAATTAATTTACCCAATGTCTTTCGTATGTTTGCGAGAATAAATGTACGAAAAAATAGACCAAGTAATAATGAAAGAACACATCACTTCTTTGGGGTGTCAATAAAATTTCGCATGTGATAGTCATAATATTCAACTTTTTAGTACTTTTGTCTACCTATTTGTTGATTACATATGATATAATCACCAGAAAAAAAAAATAAATAAAAAATGAGTAGTATCTCTTGTCCTTAAGTGAGCCAAAATTAGTTTGGGGATACGAATCAATGTTCAAGGCGAAGTTTCTTTGCAACTAGCTAACCACGCTTGTGACAGATCATTTTTTATTTATTTAATTTGTTTATTGATGTGATTCTCTTATAATCACATTGGAATTGATATGAGTTTCGGGTTTAGCTCACAGAATTCAAACTTCGATGCATAGGTAAAATGGTAATATTAGGAATGGAACTAATTGAGAAATTTAAACAGGAAAATCAAGGAAATCAAAATCGGATCAACTACTCCCCTAGTTGATTTTATTCTCGATTTTGAGGGCATTCGATTACGGATTTTAATGTGGAAGCAACATAATTTTTTTATTCATTATGTTATTACATGCAAAAAAAAGTAAGAAATTTAAATCATTTCAATACCTATGCGTTAGTAAACACATAAAAATAAATAAGGAATTGGATGAGAGAGTGCTAGGACTAATTGCTCGCACAATTGCAGGTCATTTTTAAGCGTAATGCATGTAATGTCACAAGGCCTCCTCACACCGCATGTGAGCCGTAGATGCTTCAAAAATAAAATAACAATTGGAGACCAATCCAACTAGATCACGATTGGGGTACATCACATATTAGGGTAAAGATTTGGTGCCGCCAGCCTAACTTGCCTACAACTTGCAACTTTGAACAGAAAAAAACAAAAAACAAAAAACAAAAAAAGACCAAAAGCATTTCTACTTGGAACCCAAATCTCTTTCCCAATTGACTTGCGATTGCCCTCGGCCTCTTGCCCTTCTCCGCTTTTTGGCTCTTGACTTTGGCGCTTCGCATCATGACTCATATCCTTTCCATTGTTGATTTCATACATCATGTTAGGCTTTTTATTTTATCTGCTTCAGAATTTCTGTTTAATCTCGTGTTTCTCAACACTTCAATTCTGTTTCGTTATTATTATTGGAAGTAATTTTGGTACGAACAAAAACAAAATTGGTTGTTTTCTTTGATTCTGAGATTTGATCACGCGGCAACCAGAGAGAGAAAGATCGGGAAAGAGCTCAGGCTCGCGGCAAGGGTAGCAAGAACAAGGACGATGGCTTGACCCCAGAACAGCGCCGAGAGAGGTCCAAGTTCCAATCTTTTATCTTTTTCTTTTCTATTTCTTTTTGGGTTTTTATTTTTATTTCTTTTGAGACAACCCAATTTGTAAATATTTTGTTTCTTGAAAAATGGATGGCAGGGATGCGAAAGCGCTCCAAGAAAAGCAGGCGAAGAAGGCCGCGGGGGCAGCGCCGGGAGGGAATTCCTCCGGAGGTAAAAGTACGAAATAAGAGAATGAATGGCATTGTCTAATTTGGGGATGTTGTCTTAACTTTGGCTTGATTAATAGCTGTTGAGATTTCATAGTTTAAATTTGTGGTGTATTGAATAATTGATGTTGGAAAATATGTCATTGTGAGTTTGTTGTATACTTGACTTAGAAATATATGAAGTGAGCCAATTTCATGTACCATTGATTTCTGTAATTCTTATTATTGCATCATGATTTAGAATTGATTGAATATTTGGAATTTCAGAAAACTGAACTGAATTTGTAACGTAATAAAGCAAAATATATCAACTTTAATCAATATTGAGGTACCTCTATAAGAGCTTTAGCTTAGTCTCAACCTTTGAAGTTTTTTGAATCACCATGGACCTGTGGAGATGCTTGTTGGCCAACACAGGATATAGGAGGATTTTAGACACAATTATGTTGGGTTCTGTTACAGATTGTGAAAACTCAGAACTTATTACATCTCTAATTCTGTTTGCCACTTTACAAATCAAGGTTTTAGATTATGTATCTTTTACATCATTTGTGATGTGAGTCGTTAATTGCTAGATATTATAAGCCTTGACAATGGTGCTTTGATGTAGATGTAAGGGGTTGGACCTAAGGGGTCATAGGTTTTTTGACAAGAACAAAAGGCTTATTTTGTGGCTTCATGCCCATGTATGTGTTCTAGTCTCTAGAAAGGTCCCTTGTCCTTAGCTCAAGGATTGATTGACCATTGGCTAAAACATGTCAACTTCCGTGGTTTGTTTTTCTGTCTTCTACACTATTTGCGTTTGTAATCTGTTACTGTAGGAAAGAGTCTCGTTAGCTAGGGATACTGCTTTGATGTGGATTCGCATATGTGGAGCATGTATCATCCTCTAAATGTTTGAGTGGGTTAATATTCTGTGGAGGAGTAAGAGGACTGAAAGGAAACAATATGATATTAGGAGGGAGAAGAGGCAATATCCTTTCTTGTAGGTCATCTCTTGCCTTTCCGTGTTAGTAGGCATGCTCTGAGTGGCTTGTACAAAGACCATTGAGATCTACTTCTGTTAGGAAGCCTTCTTTTCCTTTAAAAGGGAAATAGGAAAAGCGATGCACACCCTCACTGCGGGTGCTTGTTCAACTTAGAAGCATGCCTAGATGCACATTCCACCACAAACCGTCACTGAAAATTGTACATGTAGGACATCAAAACTACCATGCCATGTTTTTTGTAAACGAAATTACAAGATTAGTGCATGGCATGTTCTTTGGGTACTTCAAACATGGGGAGAACCTGTGTTGGCTGTGTTTCGACATGAACGGAAAATTAATCACGTCCTTTGCGGAACAGGAGTGTCTTAATAGTCTTCTGAAGCAAGAGAAGAAAGTCTTTACTCTGGTGGAAGTTATTTAAGGAGATTTTTGTTTTATCTTACGTTCTTTACTTATTGTGATCAGAATCTAGCATTCTTTACAATGAAAAATAAAGATGTGCACAGCAACCCAGTCATTTTAAGAACTATCAAACTACCCAGAGACAATGATCATTAACGTTTGGATGCTTTGATGTTTCATTTGTCTCCATGTGCACTAGATGATTCTGTTGTGTTTCCATTGCAACGAAACGAACAGTCACATGCTTCGCATCCACATGTACACCTAAGTACAATAAAACCTAGTATCATATGCTGTGATCCTAGATGATCTTTATGTTCAAGCATACTGCATACAGAACCCAGATATAGGGCAAGGTCCTTCTAGCAAGAATGAAAATGAGAATTTGAGATAGCTGTGGCAAAATAGATGCCTTTATTACTAGTTTAACATACTGCATACAGAACCCAGATATAGGGCAAGGTCCTTTTAGGAAGAATGAGAATGAGAATATGAGATAGCTGTGGCAAATAGATAGAGGGTAAAGTTGTTGAGAAAGAGATGACTGTTGTAGGAAAAAAATAGGGTCTTCACCAACAGCCATGGAAAAAACCAGAGGCTCCCAAGCCACCCAAATGAAAGCTTAATCACATTGCATGGCATGGTAACATGTCATGATCAGATCTACATTCGTAATTGCTGAAGGTGTATGTACATCTTCATGCAGACAAACCCCGAGCTTCTTTTTAAGTTAACCTCTGCGAGAAAAACTCACATGAAACACAAATATGTGATGGAGAGAGAGAGAGAAGGGATTCATGAATGTGATGGTTAAATTTCTTAAACCTCATGAATGTGAACGATTGTTCTTTTGTACCTCATTGTCTTTTTTGAACAAGGTTTTCAAGAATGGTTGGAACTTCGACCGTGAAACTACATTACGGAACAAACACAAGTACCAGTGCAGGTCCTCAAAAAATAATTCCCGATATGCTAACTATAGACACCTTTCAGTTGCAAGGGCTTGTAGCTCAAGTGGATAAGAGCATTTACCTCTGCATCTTAGGTCCTAGGTTCGATTCCCCCCTTCCCCAATATCGCCTTGTTTAAAATAAAATAAAAAAGACTCCTTCCAGTTAAACACCCTCACGTTTAGAAACCCCGCTCTGAATATGTCACACTGATTTTCTCGACCCCACAAGTGTTTAGACAAACAAAAATTACAAGCAAAAGAAGAATGGATAAAATAAACAAGTGTTAAAACTTTATGTAATGGAGTTGGTGCCATTGTATTGTATGATATATTAAACGGTGACCTTTGTGTTATTTGGTGAACTGAAGGCTTATCCTAAGACTTGAACATGTCAATGGGGAATCAATTTGTGCAAATAAAATGCCATGACTTCATGCAAATAAACCCGTACAGCTAATTGCCAGTTTAGGCACATTTGTCTCTTACAAGTTTCAACCAAGAAAATATATTTAGACTTGTTATTTATTTATGAATTTAAGGAAATAAAGCTATTTCTGCAATTCAGAACAGTTTTGAAGTTTTAACTAAAGTTTTGAAAAGCGAGACATTTTGGGTCCTCCGGAGCGAAGCGTAAGTCTTGAGGCGTTTTTTGAACACCTTGGAACTTTTGACATGCCAAATGTATGAAACTATTTGGATGGATAAATTGCATATTAGAGACAATAACCAAACAGACAATTGATTTCGAAAGAGAGAAACCTTTTAAAATTGAAATTGATAAACTACTACTACCTAGACATGGTCATGTTATGAGAAAGAGTCGATGGTTTAGGGCCTGTTTGGGGGTGCTTCTGGAAGGGCCAAAAGCGCTTTCAGATAACTAAAGGCGCTTCTGACAGCGTTTGGCAGAAAAGTTTAGAAGCTCTTCTGGGTCATAGAAGCGCTTCCTGGAGAAGTATGTGCTTCTTCAGGAAGTACTCCCAAGTGTTTTTTCACGAAGCACTTTAATTTTTTTTTATGAAAATTCAAGATTTTTATAATAAAAACGCTTTTGTTAGAAGCGCTTATGAGCAGAAGTACTTCCTAGAGAAGCAATCCCAAACGAGCCCTTAATTATATAGTAATTAAAAAGCATATTGGAAAGTATAACTAAAAATTTAAAGCAATGCCTTTGATTTCTGCTTACAAATTTACAATGGCCCACATTTTTTCTCTGCCTACCTTAGTTAGCCATGATTAAATTAACTAATGATAAGTTGATAACCATAACGGCATTGGTAATCATGCTTTGTCAAAATAAACGATAAAGCGCACTCCATGCTATTTCTTTAATTAAAATAAATTAGTTTATTTGGATCAACTGGTGGTGGTGGAAGTCATGATGTTACTCATGAACAGATGAGCAAAGTTCAACTTAGTTTGGGATTAAAGAAAAAAAGTACAACTTAGTTTTCAGCAGGATAAGGTTTTCTAGTTCAACTTCCAAGAGGTTTTGCTGCCTGCCTACGTATTGATTTTTATACATATCGCAAAGATTATTAAATTCATGCACGTATATTCATCCATGATTAAGTCTTAATTTGGTTCTTAATTTGGGTTTAGAAGATGGATCCATAATGATTAAGAGAAAAATATAGAAATATCATAATATTTGGTACTTTATGACATGATTGGTACTCAAATTATATTAAACTAAGTATTATCATTTCTTTGAAACGGAAATCGAAGTTGAGACATCTTCCAACATTGTAGAATAAAAATACAACTATGTCTCAACTATCAGATATTACGTGAGTATGTGGCAACACTAATAAATTGCTACAACTTATCTTTAGGAAGAAAAAAAAAATATTGCGATTCCCTTCCTAGAAAAATTCTTTCTTGTGAGCTAGAAAAGATGGAAAGACTTAACTGATGTAAAACAAAAGACGGAATCATTTGAACAAGAAGAATTCCACTTTGATGCAGTTGTTTTCATCTTTTACAGTCTTTTGTCGTGTTTTCATCTTATCTAACTTTATATATATGGTGCTTCTGTGCGCTGTTACAAAAGGATTAGCAGCAGTGAGGGAAATTAAAGGGGGTTGGCGTGGAGGGATGAACTTCCTTGCAAAAAGGTTGATCAAAACCCTTAAATATACAAAAAAGAAGTTGATGAGAAGAATAAAGTAAAAGGGAAGTCATATATACATATAATAGTCAAATTCTTGAAGTAGTTGCACCAGAAATGAACCTGTTCGTTTTTTCTTTCTTTCTGATTTGAGGGTCAGCTTAATTCATGAAACTTTAAACTAATTATAGTTTTGAGGGTAGTTGTTGTTATTGATGTGAGCGAAGGTTATAAACTGTTGACAAGGGACAAATTTCTGTGTCCCCCATATACTTAAATGCACGCAGACACACACACCAGACCACAGATGTAGAATATTCAACATGTTTACAAAAATAAAATAAAATATTTAAATGATAATTACAAATGACTAGATCTGTTGTTTATATGCAATGTACCCCAGTTGTATATGTTGTTATAATATTATCAATTTATCATAGAGCGTAGCCACATGAGCAGAACCACCTCTGAAAGCTCCTATAACATGCATCAGACAACATTAAATAGCTGCAGAAATCGTGAGAAATGTTCTCTTACCGTATCCGGACCACAAATTAGTTTGGTTCTTTTTTAAATGTGGAGTTCAGATTTATGCGAGATAAGTATTTGTCTGACAACATAAGTTTGGTAATGGTATAAACAAAGAAACTGGACAACCAGGCACAATGAATGTGTCTATTTTGCTTTGCTAGGCTGCAAAATTCTTATCTTCAAGACAGAGAAACTGATGGAAGATTGTAAGAAAATTAAGCAAGGCCTGTCACAATTGAGTAACAATATTATATAGATAGAGGCACTAAGTCCCCACTCATGACTTGTCATCCACTCATTGATCAAGCTCCTTCTCCATCTCTAATTTAATCTAAATGCTGTTGCTGATGTGTGTGTGTTTGGAAATGAGGGCATTTATTTATTTCTGTTTCATGGTTTTGAGGTCCAAAACACAGGAAGGAAAAAGATATATATGATCAAGGAAACAGGAAGCAAAAGCTAACATTTGAAAACATGGCCTCGTGCCCTCTGCCTACTAATCCTCCTCAATTAAGCATGTAAAAAAAACATAATATAGGTAGCTTAGCCTCAGCCTCAGCCATAGCCATGTGCTTGTTTTGTTAGATAACATTGACAAACAAGTTAGCCTTAGAATAATATTGCAAAACTTGCCAAAACAAAAACAAAAAGTGAAAAAATAAAGAGAGTTCCTTTGAGATTCTTTATTCTCTCTTTTTCCTTCTCTAGTATAATATATATTTGTATTTTCCTCCCTTGGAATGGTTCCCTCCAAGTGGCGTTGACCCAAATGGTTAGCTTAAAATGGCTGCAAACTTAACAACACCGCACAAATGACAGAGAAATTTTAATCATTTCATTTTCAAAGCCAGCCTCACCACTTGAGGTGGAGAGAAATTAGTGGCAGTGCTTGCTTGCTAGCTATGGCTTTTACCTTTATTTGCTTGAGCTGATGAGGCGCTTGAGTGTCTCCAAACCCTCTTCAAAAGACACATATGCTCATGATGCCCCAAGAAAAAGCCAAACAAGGTATACCTGTGTTGATAGCTTTCATCACTATTTGTTTAATGCTTAGATCCAGAAAAGACAGTCATCATTTCCTCATTCTTATAGAATAATTAATCCAACATCCCGGCCTAAAATAAAATTAATTAACTAACATAATAGCTGAATTAAATTGGGTTTAAGGCCGGTTCAACAGTAATGATTATTTCGATGATAATATTGATAAATGCAGCCTCTGGTACCAACATTTGTATGAGCTTTCCACTAATTTCCTGCAATGTAGGACCAGTCATAAGGTTGGCCATCTCAGTTGGCTTAAAATTAAGACTAATTAAGCAACTATTAGCAGATGTACACTTGTATAAAACAAGCTTAAGTATCAGAAAATGAAGTTTTGTGTTATGTATATTGAAAGGTCTAAACTTTATATATAAAACTCAATTGGAAAGTAAAAAGAAGTGGAATGGGGCATGTGGGTGTTAAAGAAAATCACATGATCAATGACATCAAAAATCCATGATCATGATATATAAAAAGCCATGAAAGTAAAAGGTTGAAATTTTCATGTAGTCACCATCACTGGGGAAGATTCACTGCATAACATGTAGCCCTACATGGCAAGTTAGCTAAGAAGGCCTGAGCTGTCAGGTTCTGATTGGCTGCAATGAGACATGAAAGAATATTGGCAAGCACGAATTTGCGTGGGGGAGGAAATGGAAGGTGGTGAGCTTATTCTTTTTGTCAATTGAACAGAGAGAGAGAGGGAGAGAGATCTGACTCGGACAATAGCTTTGCTTTATCGACATAAAGTAGGTTCCTTTAATATTCTAATAAAGCAGCAAAATACTTGTCACATGATGAGGAGAGCTGTAGCCTTCAGAGGTAAATATATATATATAGCACAGTGCATTCATGATTTCCATTATTTCTGTGCCATTCTTTTCTTTGTGTGTTCTGTTCGCTCTCAAAGTTTTTATTAGTATGGATGGTAAGTTTCCCAAGTTGGAAACCTTCATAGAAAAGCAATTGCCATCTTATTTTCCAAGAATGGCAGGTGATATTGGATCAAATTTGTTTGGTGATCCAGCCATTTGGGGTGGCAGTAGATCAAAATCATCACTGTCATCAGAGTCTAGTAGTTCTTCAACAGAGGAGTTTTCTTCTTCTGGTTCCAATTTGATTAACAACATGCCTGGATTGACCAAAAGTCCATTTGTTCCTGTAAATTTCTTGGAAACATTTCCTCAGCTGAGTAGAGTTCAAGTTTCTGATCAACCACCTACTTCTCCACCTTCCTTGTCATCAAACAGGTCAAAATTTCCAAACTTAACTTTGTTTTTGCAGGAGCCAAATCTGTTAGATCCCTCATCATCATCATCATCTTCGTCGTCCACGCAAGTTGAAGTTGTAGACTCACTTGGCAAGACCAAAGGGTGTGATGAGCCTAGTATGTTCCCCTATTTATCAATCCCTTCATTTCCTACTCCTCAAGTAATCGACCAAATTCAGCGTCAACCGGGCATGATTGAGTGGCTTAAATTGAATCAAAATTTAGCAAGCCATTCATCTAAAGGCTTCAATGATTACTGGCTAAGCACGACGAAGACGCAGCCAATGAAACACACTGCAAGGTCATCAAGATTGCAGCAGCAGATCAATCAACACCACAAGCAGCCTCATAACAATTTGTCATCAGCATCATCATCACCAGGGAAGCTATTTAGAGGAGTTAGGCAAAGGCATTGGGGGAAATGGGTGGCTGAGATTCGATTACCAAGAAACCGAACAAGGGTCTGGTTGGGGACTTTTGACACAGCTGAGGAGGCTGCCATTGCATATGACACAGCTGCCTACATGTTGCGTGGCGAGCACGCCCATTTGAATTTCCCAGATTTGAAGCATCAACTTAAGGCCAATGCTTTGAAAGGAAGCACAGCTGCTCTGCTTGAAGCAAAGTTACAAGCAATATCTTCATCACAAGCACATCAGAAGGCCATCATGGAGTCCAAATCATCACAATTAGCATCACCAAACAAGCACTCAGCTGATGATCATGATGATCACAAGTACTCAAATCTCATGATCAATAGTAATTTCAGCCAAAACCCAACAAGAAAAGAGTGGCAGTTTGGATTGGAGAGCAAAGTTGGATCTGATCATCAGGTGGTAATTGAAAGCAAGAAAAGCCAGCAGGATTTAGTATCAGCAGATGTGGATGCTGTTCAGCTAAGTAGAATGCCCTCTTTGGACATGGACATGATATGGGATGCTCTTCTGGTTTCTGATTCATAACCTTTCCTTGTTTTTTTCTTTCATTTCAAAAAATGATATGTGATACCGAAACCACGATTTCACTGATTAAATTGATGTCGTGTTGAATAATTTTTTTTTTTGGATTCAGTATATAGGCATGTAACTCATCTTTTTTCTTTTCCAAATTTTTGCAGTGAATGGTTAGATTATCAGATTTGTGCTTTCTCCAATTTGGTTTTTTTTCTTTCTTAAAAGATGTTCTTTATGCAGTGATATATTTTCCTTTCTTTTTCTTATGAAGTTTAGTTTCTGTGGCTGTTGATTTTATTTCTACAACTTTTCTGTCTCTGACGAAGGTTTTGCACTTCGAAACAGGCATGATGCATGATTTTCCAACTTTGCATTATGAAATGGAAAGATGCCTAATGTAAACATCTTTTAAATAGTACTGTTGCCAAATTTGAAACGTTGAATGGGGGTTGAAAAAGGATCCCACTATATATATATGAAAAGTATAGCCGCTCGACTATACGATTAATTTTTAAAAAAATTATTATTTATAAATTTAATAATTATAAATAAAAAATTAAAAACTCCCCGAGTATAGCCGGGCGGCTATACTATTTAAAAAGGGAAATAGTGCGTATAGCCGCGCGGCTATACTGTTTTGAAAAATACAGAGTACAGCCGCCCGGCTGTATTATTTATAAAAGGGGCGCGTCTAGCGATTAGGCGCCCACGTGTCAAAACAAGTATAGCCGAACGGCTATACTATTTTTAATAAATTATGTCTTTGATGCTTTGGGCCTTAAGCAGGTCCCCTTGGGCCAGGGCCGGTCCTCTCTCCAGAATAGCGAGGTCCACTGCTTTTCACTGTTAAGTCAAAAGCTAGACAAGATTTTCACTGCATTTGGGAAAATGGCTCCAATCACTCATCCACATCCCGCATTGGTTGCATTCTTTTTTAAAATGTGGAGCCGATTTTGACTATTCACTCCAACTATTGCCTCTATTGGTCTTGATCTAAAGCGAAATTGTAAGTTTTTTTTTTTTTTTTTCAATTGCGATGGGTAATAACTTATAATCTCGTTCTTTTGAGAAGATAAATCCCATTAGATCAAGAGTTAGTTGATATTAGTTAGTAATAAAAGAGTGACCATCCTTCAACCTGGCATATTCTATTAACTGGCCAAAAACTGGGTCAATGCTCTTCCTTTGATAAACAAGGTACGAAACTGTGCAAGAATTTCCCTCACGCGATTTTCGTCGGTCACTTTTCCATTTAGACAAGATTTTTCTGGAATTTGACGCGGTTGAAGTCAAGCTGCAAGAAAAGACTTCCTCTTTTCTAGGAACATGGAAAAATCAAAATCATAAGATAAATAGAGCCATATATAGGAGGTTCCCAAGTACAAAGATTTACCATCAAAATCAAAATCATTCTCTCTTGTGCTTATTATCCATCGCAGCTTTGCTGGCCATAAATTAACTGTTGAGATTCTCACTATCTTGCTTGTTGATCAAACTTCTGCTGCATGCACACAGAGAGCATGCCAGATAGGTAGTTTCTCTTCTCCTTTTTTTCTTTTTTTTGGATCAACTTAACTTCTCCTCTTATGGTTTGCATATTTTTTTTGGTTACATTGGGGTCAAACGGGGTTCGAACGGGGTTGCCATGGGGAAGGGGGAAGCTACCACCACTGTGGTGGGAACCCATTGGCGTTTGCATATTTTTGTTGCTATGATGCTTGATGAAACTAACAAAAATATAAATTGTCATGAAGGACAGAAAAGTTGCAGAGCACTGGATTTACAGAAGGGAGGGGTTCAGAAAAGTAGACTTCCCAACACACTGCAGTTATGGACCAGTAAATGAAGATGACCCTTTCAAATGGCAAGGTGTGATCATGGGGCCTCCATATTCTCCTTATGAAGGAGGTGTCTTTTCTCTCTCCATTGATTTACCACAAGACTATCCTACCAAACCTCCCACCATCAAATTTTTAACCAAGGTAATGCATCTACTGTCTACACATACATCTTGTCTGTTATAATTTTGCAATTGGATGATGATGCAGGTGATTAAGGTGAAAAAATGTTTTAAGAGTAATGGAAAAGGCGGATTAAACGACAAGCATCACTCTAAAGATCAATGAAAAAGACTGCATTCTGAGTCAAGTCAACAGAAGCCTGTTTTGTTCATCATCTTGGTCTCTTTTCTGATCATGAGAAAGACTCCTAGTTGAATAGTCATGTTTCTAGGTGTTCTAGGGGTTATGCTTTTTTAATACGGCAATCATTATGTGTCTATACCTTTGAATGAATAGTCTTGATTAGAATGCGTTATGGAAGAAGATGGGACAATTTACATAGACATTTTGGATGAATAGTCATGTTGGTGTTATGCAGGTTTATCATCCAAACATTGGTGAGGATGGGACAATTTACATAGACATTTTGGAAGAAGGTGAATGGAACCCAGTCCAGACCATTGAGAGCCTGCTGCTCTCCATATGCTCACTCCTCGATGATCCAAATCCAATGGACCCTCTCAATCCATGCTGCCTTCTCTTCCGAACGGACAAACAGAAAGCCATTGAAATAGCAAAGGACTGGACTAGGAAGTATGCAATGTTACCTTAAATTAATTTTGAATGGCATCCCTTGCCTTTATTGACATGCATATAAACATTGTTCCTTTCCTTCTATAACTTAAGCTCTTGGAAGTAACGTTTTATATTGACTGATTGAGTTTTCATTTGACGTTTTAGATTTCCCATATTTCAAGCAGCAAAATAATCCAAAAACAAAGATCCAGGCCACACTCAAGAGAAAATCACACTGCATAGATGTACAAAATAAATCATTAACCAGCTGGTGATCATTCACCAAGTGAGATGAACATATGCTCCATCTTCTATCTTCTCTTCCCTTAATAAATAGATAGGAAAGGAAAAATAAACATTACTGGAGATTATATAATTAACAGATCCAAAATTCACTATTCACTATACATTGTTTAAGGTTGAAAAGGTGAATTTCAAAGGTTAGGAGGAATATTTTTTTTTGGTCGAAGGTTAGGAGGAATATTTTTTCCGACCAAAAACAAGTACTATTTGTGGCATTGGACACTTATACAAGCACGTGCGGCTCACCGTACAAAAGTAGGCGTCACATAACTGTATGTGAGGGACTTATGCAATGTGCCGGGCGTATCCAAATTTGGAAGTTAGATAGGTAGGCTTTGTACATTCAATATAGGAAGCGATCTCGCTGTACATCATTCATATAAAACATAACAGCTTCGTGCAATTTCAAATCACCTGCGTAAAACAAATAAGACATCCAAAACAGTCCCTGTGAAACCGAAACCAAATTACATAAAGAAAAACATATATAAGCCAGCAAGCGAAAAACCTTTGAAATTGGGGCATAAAGACCAAAGAATTCAATTGCCTATTGCATGACCAACACTCTCAACTTGTAATACAGATTATAAGTCAAAGATGGCAATTACTCTGCATCACTAAGCTTTTCATGTGATCCCTAAGCATACAAGCATGGATCCCAAAGCTCAAGGTCTAGTGTCAAATTTATTACTTTTATTACCCATGGAGTTTCAAGGCATGTACTGTCAGGTTAATGTCTCTTTGCTTCTCAGGGTATGCACGAAAATCTATCCTCTGGACGTACATTGACAATGCTACACTCATTAAATGTACTTTTGAGGCATTCAGAGAGTGAAACTCTTTCACTACCGTAATGAACTACAAACTTTACAACCATGTACAAAAAATTCAACTGTTCCATTTTCTTTTTCAGTCACACATCTGTCAGAGAAGGCATCCACGAACAGCCAATATCAATTAACAGATGTGTTGATACTTTCAAGTATGAACGTTCGCCACTTTCAATGACTGGCTCAAACAAGTAATTAGACAATAAACAAAGAAAAATACTACAGAGACCCAATTATCTAACCACGCGATGTGGTAGTTCATACGTTTGATCAATTGATGTGGATAAAAACTCTGACCCCTCTAGCATTACTCATAGACATGTCATCTATAAAATCCTTTATACAAGTATTTACAAATAGATGCACGTAATACATTTATACCTCAAGGGTGATACTAGTAACATTTAATGCTGCCACTAAAATAACCTAGAGAATAATTATTCAAATATTCATTGCTGCCACTATAATAACTGTTCTATGTTTCACATCCACAGAAATGTTGTGAAAATACAAAGTTTGAGTGGGCTATAACACATGTGGGTAGTTTTACATGGACTGGATAGGCAAAGGTTTACACTATCACATGTGATGACTAGAAATAACCTTGTTTATATATAGGTTTTTTTTAAAGTGAAAAAAATTGGGGTAGGCAGCTGCCTACCCTGCCCTGGCTGTAGAACCGCCACTGACTCACACCAACCACCTTGGTTAGAGTGAAACTCTTTCACTACCGTAATTAACTACAAACTTTACAACACTGAAAAAGAAAAATTCAACTGTTCCATTTTTCTTTTTCAGTCACACATCTGTCAGAGAAGCATCCACGAACAGCCAATATCGATTAACAGATGTGTTGATACTTTCAAGTATGAACGTTCGCCACTTTCAATGACTGGCTCAAACGAGTAATTAGACAATAAACAAAGAAAAATACTACAGAGACCCAATTATCTAACCACATGATGTGGCAGTTCATACGTTTGATCAATTGATGTGGATAAAAACTCTGACCCCTCCAGCATTACTCATAGACATGTCATCTATAAAATCCGTTATACAAGTATTTACAAATAGATGCACGTAATACATTTATACCTCAAGGGTGATACTAGTAACATTTAATGCTGCCTCTAAAATAACCTAGAGAATAATTATTCAAATATTCATTGCTGCCACTATAATAACTGTTCTATGTTTCACATCCACAGAAATGTTGTGAAAATACATACAAGTGGGATAAATAACACTATTCCTTTACGAAGATGCTACTAAAGCTATCTACACTGAGAACTACAAAAGCCAGGGAAAAGTACAGCTCAAGAATGACAAAAGCATAAACGTCGATTTAAAACTTAACAAACAATGGATAGGATTTTCTAGACTAGAGGCAACATCAACCACTATTAAGCTGTTTTAGAATATCAAGTTTCCAAATAGAACCTGGCACGACTCAGAGATTTACTTTAAGGTTGTTGCAGTCCTATATATTATACGGTTTGAGTGGCTAAAGTGGTTGTGCGGGTAGTATGATTGATAAACTGTAACTGGATAGTTTTAATAAAGGAAAACAAATTGGCTTGCAAGTGACGACTTTTAAACAAGTTTACCTATGTGAAGACACGAGTACGAACAGCCAATATCGATTAACAGATGTGTTGATACTTTCAAGTATGAACGTTCGCCACTTTCAATGACTGGCTCAAACGAGTAATTAGACAATAAACAAAGAAAAATACTACAGAGACCCAATTATCTAACCACATGATGTGGCAGTTCATACGTTTGATCAATTGATGTGGATAAAAACTCTGACCCCTCCAGCATTACTCATAGACATGTCATCTATAAAATCCGTTATACAAGTATTTACAAATAGATGCACGTAATACATTTATACCTCAAGGGTGATACTAGTAACATTTAATGCTGCCTCTAAAATAACCTAGAGAATAATTATTCAAATATTCATTGCTGCCACTATAATAACTGTTCTATGTTTCACATCCACAGAAATGTTGTGAAAATACATACAAGTGGGATAAATAACACTATTCCTTTACGAAGATGCTACTAAAGCTATCTACACTGAGAACTACAAAAGCCAGGGAAAAGTACAGCTCAAGAATGACAAAAGCATAAACGTCGATTTAAAACTTAACAAACAATGGATAGGATTTTCTAGACTAGAGGCAACATCAACCACTATTAAGCTGTTTTAGAATATCAAGTTTCCAAATAGAACCTGGCACGACTCAGAGATTTACTTTAAGGTTGTTGCAGTCCTATATATTATACGGTTTGAGTGGCTAAAGTGGTTGTGCGGGTAGTATGATTGATAAACTGTGACTGGATAGTTTTAATAAAGGAAAACAAATTGGCTTGCAAGTGACGACTTTTAAACAAGTTTACCTATGTGAAGACACGAGTACAGGGTCATGGTTGTTGGTTGTTCCATGGATCCCTACATTGCATTAGTAAGCAGAAGTTTAAAAAATTGAAGCTGTAAAAATCCTAGATCAGATAAACTTTCAAGGGGCAGCATAGTAGTAACTAAAGGATGTCAAGCTTTTCTCCTACCCAAGATGTAGAATTACATAAGTCTCTCTATGGGTGGTTAAACTATCAATCAGTAGTGTCATAAATGTTCAGTATCTAAGTTCCCCTCAACAACCTCGGAATAAGCTAAGACTAACGGAAAAGCATGCCAGCTCTTATGCTTAGGGTGATCTTACATGCTAGCTATGCTGACTAGGCCTGTGTGATGCCTACCATTGGGCTGATACTGTAGATTCCAAGGGCATGCAATACTTGCCTCTCTGGATGGCTAGTTCAATTGGTTGCCTTCATGAAGCAAAACATCATGTGTTCATTTCTTTTCATCTCTTCTCTCTTTACTTCAGACAGAATACCAAAGAAACATCTTGCAAATGAATGCCTTCAAAAGTTCAGCTTAAGTAAATGAAGAAGGGAAAGATGCGAGGGGGCCTTTGCATTTGTCCTGTGCACGTTAGATTTGGAGGTAAAACATTTATAGTAATTAACAACTTGGATTGTTTTCTTTTCCAACAATTTCTCAGGAAACATGCAGATGCAGTGTTTGGCAAATTGAGAAAAGCACAAGAATCCTAAATCAAGTGAAAAAAAGTCACAAACTTGAGATATAAGGTAAAATACGTGGAAAGAAATCTTTGGACTGTACTCACCGGACTTAACACCAAGAACTGACAAGCGGTCATTAACGGGCTTCCACGCAAGCAACTCCATGAAGTTCTTTAATATTTGTAACCAAACAACTGCATGGTAAATCTTAGGCTTAGTAGCATCAACTGTCTCCAGTGTAATATGGTACAATATGCTAGAAACCATAGTGTGGCTAGCCCCCAACACCCTCACATATTGAAGATTCTTACTCTACACAAACACAAAAAAAGAAACATTGACATTATAAACAAAATTAAGTAGAAGTGCCAGAAGAAAGAGAGAGAAACCATAAGAATCTCAATAACTACATCTTTGGGGCCAAACACACATAATGTTTAAACCTACCTTAAATTAAAACCATAGAATGCTAGCAGAACAAAGGAAATGAGTTTGACAAAATTAACAAACATACGCCAAAATTCACATTTAGTACCATAGAGTAATTTTTCACTGAAACGTTCCTAACATCCCATAAAGATGCATTGGATACAATCTTCTCCACAAAAGGTACACACCCTATAAAGAAACCAAAACGGATTTCGTATAAAATTTAATTTGCCGGAGTTTATGATAATTTATGAACTGGGTTTGGAACAAAAGACAGAAAATTGGCGTAAAGATGGAGAATTTAAAACAGGAAAAGGAAAAAGACCTCTTTGAAATTGTGCTGCTCTACTGCAAACTTGGCGAGTCTGATGATCCAATCATCCTCGTGGGCACCCATGTAAATGGAAGTGCCACCACATGGGGGTGATGTTGTACAACTTTGTGAACCTGAAATTGGATTTGCAGAAGAAAAAGAAGGAGAGCCATGGAGAAATACAAACGCTGAAGAAGAAGAAGAAGAAGAAATGGGGATCAAAGCATTGTGATTTAATAGTGCACAGAAGCCAATATAGGGCTTGAGCATGAGGTGAGTATGGTTGACACCGGTGTGGGTTACTCCGCCGAAGAGGTAACGCAGAGCCATAGAGGCAGGTAATATTGTTGTTGAAGAAGACTGGTGAATTTCGAAAGGCAATGCTTTGATGAAGTTCCGCCCCAAATTTGGAGGGGCGACGTTGGTGGGCTTTTCCAATAAAACGAGCCATTTAAATCTCAAAATCAAAAGGAAGGAGCTACCGTGCAAAATGGTCTTTTTCTATTTATCAAAACCGTGCAAAATGGTCTTATTGCCAAAATTATGTTTCTTTCATGTGGTTAATAATTTTAGGAATTCTTTTTTTAATATATATAATACGAGGAATTTGAACAAAGTACTTCGAGTGAATAGGCTATTTGTTATTAATCACGTGATATATATATTGAAAGATCTTTCTTTTTAAAAGGAGTAATAGCATACTAAACTCACACACGTTACACGGATACTAAGATTCGACCTTTTCTGGGAGAGAAATTGCTCCAAACCACGCTAGTGGGTTCTTTGCAAATTTTTTTTTTTAATACAAGCGATATTGAAAAGGAAGAAATCAAATCTAGGACGAGATACAAATCCTTTTTTTTTTTTCCCAGAAGATACAAATTCTTTAAGAGCCCTGACTTTGTTCTAAAGCAAAGAAGATAGTATTAAATTTCCATAATGTCCTTGGTATTTCTCCATATAGCAAGTGTCGTTATTGGATACAATATTTATTCAATATCTTTTTGTTTTATGTTTTGTTTCTTTTTTTACTTATTGTGTAAGCATGCAACTTGCAAGTTCATCCTACGCTTACAAATCAACAAATAATGAATCTGATTTGAGAGTCCAAACAGGGCTCTATGCATAATGGGCCTGAAAAGGGGCTCTTACACCATGAAATCTAATATATCATAATGGGCCTGAAACCTGGCCTTCCAATAAAAAGTTCTGAGCATAAAAAAGATCTTGAGGTTATGAACTTCCACATTTGCAACTTCAGCTATAAAGGCATGGTTCAAAGATGCATAAAATGACATTATGACAAATCTGGCATCCAATTCTTCGATTGTGCCCATCGTCCCAAATCGTCATAGATAATATGTAATAACATTCTTTCATGTTTGGTAGTCAGTTTTTGTATATGTTTAATCAGGTATTGTTCTAGTTTGTTGTTGTTCTTCAAATTTTGTATTTAAAGATATAATAAATATATGAGATTGGGATAAGACAATTTGATCCAATGATTGGTGTGATATAAAAGATAAACATACTTTACTCGGTTCAAATATGAGATGAAATCTTATCCTGTCAAAATTTGAAATTTTTTTTTTATCAAAATGTTCATAAAGAAAAATTAACTAATAAGAAGGTAAACAAAAAA